GTCCTTGAGTGCCAGAAAGGCGCCTTTGAAATAAAATGTATTATTATTATTATTATTATTATTATTATTATTATATTCAAGGTCCCTGCATTCAGGGTCTTTACATTCAGGGTGAATACATTCACGTTCCCTACATTCAGGGTGTCTATATTAATGGTCTCTACATTCAATGTCCCTAAATTCAGAGTCTACATTCAAGGTTCCTACAGTCATTGTCCTTACATTCAGAGTTTCTACATTCAAGGTCCCTACATTCATGGTCTATACATTCATGGTCCCTAAATTAAGTCTTTACATTCAGTGTCTTTACATTCAAGGTCCCTAAATTTAGAATCTCAACATTCAAGGTCCCTACATTCAGGATCTCTAAATTCATGGTCTATACATTAAGGGTCTATACATTCAAGGTCCCTAAATTCAGAGTCTCTGCATTCAGTGTCTTTACATTCAAGGTCCCTAAATTTAGAGTCTCTACATTCAAGGTCCCTACATTGAGGATCTCTAAATTCAGGGTCTCTACATTCGGGGTCTCTACATTCAAGGTCCCTACATTCGGGGTCTCTACATTCGGGGGCTCTACATTCATGGTCCCTAAATTAAGTCTTTACATTCAGTGTCTTTATATTCAAGGTCCCTAAATTTAGAATGTCTACATTCAAGGTCCCTACATTCAGGATCTCTACATTCAGGGTCTCTACATTCAGTGTCTTTACATTCAAGGTCCCTAAATTTAGAGTCTCTATATTCAAGTTTCCTACATTCAGGGTCTCTAAATTCAGGGTCCCTACATTCAAGGTTTCAACCTTCAAGGTCCCTAAATTCAGTCTCTACGTTCAGTGTCCCTATATTCAGGGTCTCTACAGTCAGTCTCTACAGTCCGAGTCTCTACATTCAGGGTCTTTGCAGTCAAGGTTCCTAAATTCAAAGTCTCTATATTCAAGGTCCCTGCATTCAGGGTCTTAACATTCAGGGTGAATACATTCAAGTTCCCTACATTCAGGGTGTCTATATTAATGGTCTCTACATTCAATGTCCCTAAATTCAGAGTCTCTACATTCAAGGTTCCTACAGTCATTGTCCTTACATTCAGAGTTTCTACATTCAAGGTCCCTACATTCATGGTCTATACATTCATGGTCTATACATTCGTGGTCCCTAAATTAAGTCTTTACATTCAGTGTCTTTACATTCAAGGTCCCTAAACTTACAATCTCTACATTCAAGGTCCCTAMATTCAGGATCTCTAAATTCATGGTATATACATTAAGGGTCTATACATTCAWGGTCCCTAAATTCAGAGTCTCTGCATTCAGTGTCTTTACATTCAAGGTCCCTAAATTTAGAGTCCCTACATTCAAGGTCCCTACATTCGGGGTCTCTACATTCGGGGGCTCTACATTCATGGTCCATAAATTAAGTCTTTACATTCAGTGTCTTTATATTCAAGGTCCCTACATTCAGGATCTCTACATTCAGGGTCTCTACATTCAGGATCTCTACATTCAGGGTCTCTACATTCAGGATCTCTACATTCAGGGTCTCTACATTCAGGGTCTCTACATTCAGTGTCTTTACATTCAAGGTCCTTAAATTTTAGAGTCTCTATATTCAAGGTCCCTACATTCAAGGTCCCTACATTCGGGGTCTCTACATTCAGGGTCTATACATTCAGGGTCTCTACATTCAGGATCTCTACATTCAGGGTCTCTACATTCAGGGTCTCTACATTCAGTGTCTTTACATTCAAGGTCCTTAAATTTTAGAGTCTCTATATTCAAGGTCCCTACATTTGGGGTCCCTACATTCGGGGTCTCAACATTCAGGGTCTATACATTCATGGTCCCTAAATTCAGAGTCTCTGCATTCAGTGTCTTTACATTCAAGGTCCCTAAATTTAGAGTCCCTACATTCAAGGTCCCTACATTCGGGGTCTCTACATTCAGGATCTCTACATTCAGGGTCTCTACATTCAGGGTCTCTACATTCAGTGTCT